TTTTATTTGCCTTATCGGCCTGTAGGATGATTAACCTAAATGTGAGAGAGCTGGAGGATCCAAAGGAGCTGGTGGGCGGGGAGCATGTTCCCCAGCACGGCTGCCATGGGCTCCAGACATGCAAATACCACAAGAGAAACACAGAAACTCCTGGGTCTGGTCCTCCCTGCCCCCTCAGCCAGGGCTGTGTCTCCCTTTGCCTTTCAGCACCCTTGGGTGAGCACAAACCCCACGGAGCAGGCAGGAGCTCTCACCCATTTCTCAGCCAGCAAACCCCCCCTGTCCCAGGGCTGCCCCACTGATCATCAAGAGGAGAATCAGAGGGTCCTGAGGGGCACAGGGCTCACACCCCAACTGGAGCACAAACCCTGTGAGCCACAGCCACTGGCACTGCCAGCCTGGCCACCCTCTGCCTGCCACAGACACACAGCCCCAGCTCCTTCTGCATGGCTCAGGAGAGAGGAGCTGACCTGGGTGCACAGACACACCTCAGACACAGCCACAGGCACAGCCACAGCCACAAACACAGCCCCACCTCAGACATAGCCCCAACCCAGCCATGGACAGCCCTGCCAGGACACTGAGGCCAGRGTCATTCTGCAGCTCACAGGGGATCCCAGGGTTGGAAGGGACCTCACAGMCCATCCAGTGCCACCCCTGCCATGGGCAGGAACACCTCCCACTGTCCCAGGATGCTCCAAGCCCCATCCATCCTGGCCTTGGGCACTGCCAGGGATCCAGGGGCAGCCACAGCTTCTCTGGGCACCCTGTGCCAGGGCCTCCCCACCCTCACAGCCAAGAATTTCTTCCTAATATGTCATCTAACCCTGCCCTCTGGCAATGGGAAGCCATTCCCCATGTCCTGTCCCTCCATCCCTTGTCCCCAGTCCCTCTCCAGCTCTCCTGGAGCCTGTTTGGGTCCTGGAAGGGGCTCTGAGCTCTCCCTGGAGCCTTCTCCTCTCCAAGTGAGCACCCCCAGCCTCTCCCAGCCCTGGAGCAGCTCTGTGGCCCCCTCCAGGTCCTCCTCACATGGGCAGTCCCAGAGCTGGATGCAGCAGCCCCAGTTTGGCTCTCTCCTGCTCTCAGATGTGACGTGTGCCRGGGAAATGAGTGGGAACTGTGCTGTTTCCTATGGGAAACTCTCCCTTTGCATAATGARGCTCCACTGGGGGGGTGGCTGCTTTTCTTACAGGTCCCCAGAGACTTTCAGAAGGGCAAAGGAATCCTCCTGGGTCTGTCTGGCTGCAGGGGACAGCCTCACTTGCTGGGGTGTATCCTGCCCAGCTGGACCATCCCCATGGGACAGTGTCTGTACAAACCGTGCCCACGCAGAGTAGGGACATGTGTGTGACAGGAGAGCATCATGAGCTCGGGGACAGCATTCCTGGGGGGCAGAGACGTGCAACACGGGCATCATCACCAACACTCAGCACCTCCTGGCATCCTCAGCACCCCCATTCCACCCCAAAACACATGGAGGGGCTCTGCAGAGCCAGGGTGGGGCACACAGAGGGAGGGCAGCAGGCAGAGCCCTCCCGTGCACGTGGTGTCCTGGATCAGGCACTGATGGACACGATCCTCTCCTGACCTTCCTTCCAAGTCACTGGTGTTACAAGCCCAGA